AAAAAAAAAAAAAAAAAAAAAAAACCCAAATCATTTTCCACACGTTTCACATGTAAGTGTGTAAGATGGCGGTGGCCCAAAGGATGTCAGGGAACTAACTCATAGGGAAGATAGATTTCAATTTCTGAAAGATTAACTCTTTCTGGGGTGTGTGTGTGTGTGCTCAGTACATATTCAAACTGTTTCTGATTTGGTTCTTTCCTACCCCAGTGTGTGCTGGTAGCCACGATTTGGCAAATAAACATTCAGAGGACCAGCATCCTCTCAAGAAAACTAGTGAATTCTTGGTTTCCAAGTTTGTCAAAAGAATAGAGCCTGGGAGGCTGGTCTAAAGTTTCCATTTAGCATTTAATGTCAATTTTTTGTCACATTCATCTAAGATGTATTTATCAAAAGAATTTAGAGAGATGCCCTTATTGCAAAATATGCCGTTGGGTTTTTTCACTTAACCTACAGCAAGATTGACTTCTTTCCCTTGGCAGTATAGTTCTGTGAGCTTTAACACAGGCTTACGTTCTTGTCACCACCATCACCACAGTCAGGATGCAAAACAGTCCCATCACCCCAGGACACTCCTGGAACTACCCCATTGCGGTTACCCCTCCCTCACCCCTCATCCCTGATGAAAAGTGATCTGTTTCCTTCCCTCTAGTTTTGTCTTGGGGAGAGTGTCATGTCAGTGACGCCATATGGTTTGTGGCCTTGTGAGGTGGGCTTCCTTCTTTTGGCCTGATGAACGTGTTGAGTGAGTGTCAGATGCTTCTGTTCTAGGCTGAAAAAGCAGTTTCACTGTGTGGAAGATCACAGGTGTTCAGCCAGCCTTCCACCAAAGGACGTTTTCCTCTCTCCAGTTTGGGGCAGTTTTGCATCGAGCTGCTTTTACCATTCCGTGCAGGCTTTTGTGTGAACCTACGTTTTTCTGTTTCTCTAGGGTAGATCCCAGGAGTGGGATGGCTGGGTCCTATGGTAAACATCTGTTTCGCTTGCAGGAAACTGCCAAGGTGCTTCTCCAAGTTGCTCTGCCATTTCGCCCTCCCAGCCGCAAAGTATGAGTGTTCCAGTCGCCCAGCATGTTCTCCTCACTTGGCGTTGCTGGTACTCACGGTGTTAATTTGCGTTCCCCTAGTGCTCAATGATGTTAAATATGGTTCCATGTACTTCCGTTCAAGCCTTTCCCCCATTTTCTGGCTGGGGTGTTGATTTTCTTATTGTGGAGTTTTGATAATGTGCCATGTATTTTGGATGTGAGATCTCGGTCAGGTCAATGATTCTCAAACATTTCCTCCTAGTGGTGCAACTTTTATTTTCTTTCTCAGAACACACTAGCTCTTACACAGCCAAGGTTTTATTTTATTGTCTTTTATTGATTGATTGATTGATTGATTTTGAGACATGGTCTCACTCTGTAGCCCAGCCTGGAGGGCAGTGGCTCGATCTCAGCTCACTTCAACCTCTGCCTACAGGGTTCAAGTGATTCGCCTGCCTCAGCCTCCACAGTAGCTGGGGACTACACGCATGTGCCACCGCACCAGCTAATTTTTATATTTTTTGGTACAGAGAGGGTTTCACCATGTTGGCCAGTCTGGTCTCAAACACCTGCACTCAAGTGAACCAGCCACCTCAGCCTCCTGCCGTGTTGGGATTATAGGCAGGAGCCACCGCGCCCGGCCGGACCCCGAGTTTTAAATTTTGCCAGACTTCTATTCATCCATCTTTCCCTTCCATGGATCGTGCATCTCATGTCATGTCCCAGCCTCCCCTCACAAAGATGTCCCCCTACGGTTTCATCCAAAAGTCTTAGTATTGAACTTTGCCGTGTAGGTCTCTGAAGCATTTTTCCTTAACTGCACTTAAACGTTGAGGTTGAGGCGCATCTCCTCGCATAAGGATACGGCGCCTCGTGTATTGTAAAGCTTATCCTTTCTCCATTGGATTCCCTCTCACATCCATGTCAAAACTCATTGGCCACATCTCTGGATGGATTCATGGACTCTGCTTTCTTCCATGGATCTATATGTCTACCCCTGTAATCCAGTAATCTCCATTATTACAGCTTTAGAGCAAATGTGAAAATCCAATAACACGATCTCTCTAAATCCCTTCTGCTTTTTGGAACGTCGGCTATTCCACGTGAATTGTCGAATCTACTTGTTTGTATATGCAAATGTCCCTCAAGGATTCTGACTGGCAGGCACTGCATTCATTCTACACATCAAGTTGGGGACAGTTGACTTTTTCCCTTCTTGGGTCTTTAAATCTGGGAACACATTGTTTCTCCCCATTTAACTAAATCTTCTTTGATCTCTTCGTTACCGTTTTATCGTTTTCGGCACACAGGCCCGTTCCATGTATTTAAGCTCTGTACGTAACCGTCTCACTGTGTTTGTAGCTTTTGTAGACGGTATTCTTTCTTAAATTTAGGTTTCCAGTTACTCACAGGATTGTTTTCCGTGTGTTGACTTTCTCTCCCGTGCCGCTGCTGAGCTCTCATTAACGAGCACTAAGCTCTTATTAGCTCGGAGAGTCTGGGGGAGATACATGGGTTGTTCCATGTAGACGATCACATGACCTACGAAAAGGAGTACTTTGGTTTCTTGCTGTCTCCGGTGCGTGCCGTGACTCTTCTGGCATTATAGCACTGACTAGGCCTCCAGCGTGACGTTGAATAGACGTCCCTGCCAGGTTCACATCCTCAAGCAGAAAGCATCCAGTCTTGGACCATTGAGTGGCTTGTTAGTTGTAGGTTTGACTGTTTACGGCCTTTTTGTGGGGGAGGAAGTTGTCTTGTGTCCCTGGGGTGCTAGTTTTTATATCACCAGTGGACTTTGAATCTAGTCAGACGGTTCTTCTGCATAGCTTGATGTGATCCTGTCATTTTTGTTCTTCATCTGATTTCTCAATCTGTGGATTTCATTGATGGATTTTCAGGTATGGGAAGAACAGCCCTCACATTCCCGCTATAAAACCCAGCTGATCGTGGCTCATTCTGCTTCTCACATATTGCTCCATTCAAACTGCTAGGTTTTTGTTGAATACTTTGGTGCCTGTGTTAGGAAAGAATATTGGTCTGTCATTTTCTTGGTATCCCTGCGGTGCTGGCCTCATAAAATCAGTGGGACGCATTCCCTCTGCTTTGTTTCCTAGAAGAAGTTGTGTAAGTTGTTGATATTTCTTCATTTAATGTTTGTTAGAATTTGCCAGAGAAACTGTCTTGGCCCAGAGATGTCTTTGCAAATGTGTTTACCTGTGAATTCAGTTTATTTAAAAGATACGGGACCATGCACACAGTTCAGTGTTTGAAATCCATCCTCTGAGAGTTTCGGTAGCTTGTGGTTTTCCAGTATGTGCTACATTGCCTCTGACCTGTGGAATGTGAAGCTGTAGAGTCGCGTGTATTCTTACCATGTTGATCATTTTATGTTTTCTGCGTCTGGAGTGAAATCTCTTCTTGGCGTTCCTGATATTGGTAACTTGTTTCTTTGCCCTCTTTTTCCCCCAGTCAGTCCTGCCACGGGTTTATCGCTTCAAAGAACCAGCTTTTGGATTAATTGAATTCTTGTATGTTTTTTTCTGTTTGAAGTCTCCTGGGGGGTTTTGCTTCTGTTGCTTAGCAAAATAAATTCTTATCTACAGTAGGAATTCGGAGACGATCTCCATAGGTATGAGTAGCCTTTTTGACTGGACGCAAACCCAGTGGTCAGGAAGACGAACATGCAAAACGGTGCGTCCCCATGGTGCAAACGCTTACAATTGAGTAGAAGTCTCCCTTGTGAATGGATGAAAATGAACACTCACGGGGAGAGCATCTGTGGGTCACACATTGATTATTCTTCAGATGATGCTTGGGAAGGGGTTGGAAAATGTCAGCGGGGAATCAACATCACCGAACTGCATCGCATCCTTTTGCACCCCGGGTCACGTGGATGCGTTAATTGCTATCATTTCTCAATCCTTTATTAGATGGCATTAGTATTCTCAGCTGCCGAGATGTATGATCTCACGTCATCCTCAGAAGAAGCCTAGGAGGGGGTGTCTGTATAATCCCCATTTGACGCACAGGAAGTGGAGGGACAGAGAGGTTGAGTCAGATGAATAATCATGTGTTTTCTTGTTGTCTTATCACCTTGTGTTGCAGTCTGGGGTCTGCCTGCACACATTCCTCGCTACCTTCTTGGTGTCTGAGAACCTCCAGCTTCACCACCCTTTCTAGACCCAAAGGCCTGGTGGAGCTTCCAGCTGGGACCAGACCTCCATGGATCCACTCCAGAAACAGAATCCAGCATCGCCTTCTAAATCTTTCCCGATGACAGCTGCAGAGACTTCCCGGGAAGGCCCAGCACCCTCGCAGCCTTCGTACTCGGAGCAGCTGATGATGGGCCTCAGTAACCTGAGCCCCGGTCCTGGCCTCAGTAACCTGAGCCTGGGCCCTGGCCCCAGCAACCTGAGCCCCGGCCCTGGCCCCAGCCACTCCGCGCCTCTCCCCGAGGGGCTGCTCCACCAGCGGTACAGAGAGGAGAAGACACTCGAAGAGCAGCGGTGGGAGAGGCTGGAGTTCCTTCAGCGGAAGAAAGCATTCCTGAGGCACGTGAGGAGGAGACACCGCGATCACATGGCCCCCTATGCTGTTGGGAGGGAAGCCAGAATCTCCCCGTTAGGTGACAGAGGTCAGAATCGATTCCGATGTGAATGTCGATACTGCCAGAGCCACAGGCCGAATCTTTCTGGGATCCCTGGGGAGAGGAACAGGGCCCCACTTCCCTCCTCCTGGGAGACGCTGGTGCAGGGCCTCAGTGGCTTGACCCTCAACCTAGGTACCAACCAGCCCGGGCCTCTGCCTGAAGCGGCACTCCAACCGCAGGAGGCAGAGGAGAAGCGCCAGCGAGAGAGGCAGCAGGAGAGCAAAATAATGTTTCAGAGGCTGCTCAAGCAGTGGTTAGAGGAGAACTGAGACGCGCACCCACCTGGGATGGAGACCCGAAGGGACTCAGACGGAGCCCGCGTGTTGGCAGCGCCTGGGCGTGGGACCATTTTGGGGACGAAACAGCAAGCTGCGGTCGGATGAGTGCCAGGACCCGTTTACGGGGACACGTGGGAATCCTCCCAGCATGACGCTTGACCGACCCCAGGAAGGTCCTCATCTTTGGTGCCTGCCATTCTCGGATGGCCGCGAGGCATCCTGTGGCAAGGGACGCTGCGTACCAGCGGTCCCCGCCGCGTCTCACCTGCCTCCCGTGATGCATGTTGTCGCTCTCCCACCCTGGATCTCCGTCTCTCTTCCCTACCTGCTGACCGTAAGAGATCACACGTCAGTGTAGTGTGAATGCCTTGTCGCTGTCCTATATGCTTTTGCACCACTGAGTTGACTGCCTCCGAGAAGCAGCACTAGGCCTGCTGAAATGCAGTGCGCTGCCCTGAGATCCAGTTTCAAGAACGGGCAGCTAAACACAGTGTGGGAAAGGGATGTGCAATGAGAACTTGGTGGTCCGCCGCTGTACTGTTTGCGTAAACTTTTATGTATGTGGTAAGCTACATGTATGTAAATGTCGCCCTGCCCCTAACGGTCGAGTAGCATTCTCCCTTGCAGGAATTTCTGATGGGGTTCCTCATCACCAATACCAAATAAATATATGTAGGAATGGAAAATAGGTGTAGAATTCAGGTTTGTTCCTCCGTATTGATTTTTCTCGTCAGATCTGAGCTGGCTCCCTTGAAATCTCCCAGCAGCGGATCCGGGTTTATTGAGGGAAGCGCTACGCTGTGGAGACTGGGAACAGGGGAGGGAGGGCACCAGAGAACACAGCCCGGTCACTGGATGCAGCGAGACCAGCAGCCAGAGCAGCCAGGCAGCACCACGGCTTCGAAGAGAGGCCTCCTGCCCGCAGGAGACGTGGAAGCAGAGTCCGCCGCCCACGGTGAGAGCCCTGCGTGTTGGTGCCGGTGCTGGTGCCCCGGCCTGGGGGATGCGGGGCTGGCCATTGCTTGCGGTGTGGTGGGCCCGGGTGGGTGAACCTGAGCAGCAGTTTGCACCTGCTTCGTGAGAACCAGAGCGTCCTTGGGTTCTTCCAGAATCTTCCTGGGATTATTTAGACATCTGTGTCTTTTGATTGCAGGAGGAACCAATGACTAAATCTACCTTTCTTTTAACCTCTGCAGAATCCCGAGGTGTGAACCCAGCCAGTACCCGCGTGACTCCTCTGAACTGAAAACAAACTCTGCTTTGTGCCAGTCCGTTTTTAGGTATTCCCCAGAGCTGTCTCGCTGCAGAAGTCTGTGTGCCTACTGCCAACAGAAGTGGCTTGAAAACAAGTAAGTGACTTAGATTCTGATGCTGGGATCTCATGAGAGAGCTTGACAGTTGAAGTGACCCAGCTCCAGGGAGAAGGTAAAAAAAAAAAAAAAAAAAAAAAAAAAAAAAGAGCAGGGCTTTTCCTTCTTGAAACACAAAGGCCTAAATGCAGACCAATGAATTGGGGAGGGTTTCAAAGGGGCTCGAGGCATTGCCCTTTGATGTTTCCTAGGGTTCTGACAGTGTTTTCCCCACTTCCACATATTAGCTGCCTTCCTCCACTCCCACAGACCCATCCTCTAGCAACATTGTCAGTTCCGCTGTATGAATTTGGAAAGCAGAACACCAGAGAAGTCAGGGAACCAGCCCATGGCACCGGCAGAACTAGCACAGGAACCTCGGCAGGCTGGGATCGGAGGTGGCCCCCTCAGCAGTTCACCTCTGTGAAGGCTGTGGGTGAATTGCCTAGAGCAGGGCTTTTGGTGGTCATTTCACAGCTGGTAGCACCAAGTCTTGGCGAGACCCGTTGCCGAATCCTCCGCGCGGTGCCGTGGGGCAGGTACCGTCATCCCCACCTTGCGGAGAGTTTGTGGAGGTCCTGAAGTGGTGGCCGGGGATGCATGCCTCTGTCTGACTCCCCAGCCACCGAAATGCTGTCTCGCAGACCTTCTCAGTCAGCCCAGCAGGCACACCAGGTCCGTGCTGCCAGTGACAGCATTTCAGCAATCCTCAGGGTTTCCATTTCCTCACCCTGCCTCTCCCTTCCGGGCTTCGTCGACTGTCATGCTGGGGAGGTCAGGAGGAGTCGCAGAGGTAGCCCTGCTCTGGGGGATGGATTGATTGATCAGGGAGAGAGATCAGACCCCGTCTTAGTCTCTGTCCTTCCGCTATATCATGAAATACCACAGGCTGGGTGCTCTGGATTAGATGTGGCGTATTCATCCCCACCAAGAGTCAGGTTGAAGTTTAACGCCCAGTGCTGCAGTGTTGGGAGGCGGGTCCTAGAGGGAAGTGTTTGGGTCATGGTGAGGATCCCTCGCGAAGGACTCAGTGTCCTGTGATGCCATCCTTCCGGGCTGAGTTCTTGCTCTCACGGGTATGGATTAGTTCGCAGGAGAGCAGGTTGTTCACAGAAGTCTAGCCTCCCCGGATTCTCTCTCCCTTCCTCCTTCCCATGTGATCTCATTGCACACGCCGGCTCCCCCTCCACTTCCCACCATGAGTTGAAGCAGCCCGAAGCCATCCCCAGATGCAGTTGCCCAAGACTGCATGTTTTGGCCACCAGAATTGTGAGCCAGATAAACCGATTTTTTGTTGTTGTTAAAAGAAGTATTTATTTTAATTTTTTTAGACACAGGGTCATGCTCTGTTGCCCAGAAGAGAGCTCAGTGGCATGATCATGACTCAGTGCGGCCTTGAGTTCCTGGCTCGAGTGATCCTCCCACCAGAGCCTCCCAAGTAGCTCAAGCCTGTGCCGCCATGCCAGGCTAAGTTTAAAGTTTTTTGTAGAGACACTGTCTGGCCATGTTGCCTAGGCTGATCTCCAACTTCCGGCCTCGAGGGATCCTCCCGCCTCGGCCTCCCAGAGTGCTGGGAGCCACCGGCATGAGCCACCGTGCCTGGCCTCCAGTTTTCTTTAGAAATTACCCAGGTATTCTGTTATAACCAGGCAAAATGGACCAAGAAAGCAGGCAACTTATAATGGAAACAAATTTATTTCTCATGACCCTGGATGCTGGGATGTCCAAAACAAAAGTCCCAGTATCTGGTATCTGGCAAGAGTCTTCATCCATCATGAATATGCCTGCAAAAATCCCCAGCAAAATATTAGCAAACCCCAATCCAATTCCTCACAGGGCAAAAGGTGGAAGGGCAAGCCGGGAAGAATGTTATGTCCTCACATAGCAGAAGAGGAAAAGAGAGAACAACCCACTGCTGCAAGCTCCTTTCTTTCTCTCACGAGGGCTCTGCCGTGATGGCCTGAACACCTGCCGTCATTCCACACCTCCCAACACTGCTGCAGTGGGGGTTAATTTCACTGTGAGTTTTGGAGGGAACACAAACATTGAAACCCTGGCAGATACGCATCGTTGTGGGAGAGAACAGGTGGCTGATCCTTTGTGGTCCCGGTCCCGGGAGATGAAAGGAGTGAGAAGGATCTGAGTTGGAAAAAGCAGACATCAGGGGCTTGCTCGGGGAGCTCACAGATGCACAGTGCCACAGGGCCTTGGGTCTCCAGGAACGGGCATGGAAAATGGGTGAGTAGAGGACGCTGAGGCACTCTGCACACGCACCACATCCTCACCTCCAGGTCTTTATCCCTATACCTGTGTATGGGGGACGGAGGGGACCTGGGGGTCGTGTCTGCAACACCATCCTATCCCAAGTTACAGACTAGGATGTGCAATCCTGTGATGTCCACAGATGTCCAGTATGCGAAATTCTACAGCAGAGGCCAAACCCAAACCAAAGGCACCGGCAGGTGAGAAAGGATCGGGACAGAGAAAGGTGCAAATGCAATGATCACGTGGGACACCTGAGTAGACCTGGAGCGGGTAAGGAAGTAGAAAGACTACATTAAACATCTTCCCACTAGGGACAGTCTAGGCTCCGCTGCCTCGTTAGTGAAGTCTGTCCGACATTTACAAAATAACGTGATATCAACTCTTCACAGACTCTTTCAGAATATAGAGGAGGAGGGAACATTTCCCAACTCATCCTCTGAAACGTTTATTGCTCTGCTCCTAAAGCCAGACAGAGGCTGGGGGCAGTGGCTCACGACCGTAATCCCAGCACTTTGGGAGTCCAAGGTGGGTGGATCACCTGAGGTCAGGAGTTCTTGACCAGCCTGGCTAACCATGGTGAAACTCTGACTCTACAAAAAATAGAAAAATTAGCCAGGTGTGGTGGTGGGCATCTGTATTCCCAGCTACTCAGGAGGCTGAGGCAGGAGAATCGCTTGAACCTGGGAGGTGGAGGTTGCAGCGAGTCCAGATCACACCTCTGCACTCCAGCCTGGGTTGACACAGTGAGACTTGTCTCAAAAACATAATAATAAAGCAAGACAGAGACAGCAATAATAATAATAAAGCAAGACAGAGAGAGCAGGATGCCTTAAACCAACATCCATCATGAACATGCCTGCAAAAATCCCCGGTAAAATATTAGCAAACCCCAATCCAGTCATACATAGAGTGGGCTATGCAACATGACCAAGTGTCATTTATTCTAGGAATGCAGGACTGGCTTAACATTCAAATTTCAGTTAAGGTAATCCGCCCTGCTAATCTAATAGAGAACAGGAACTAGATCATCATCATCACAGACAGAGAAAAGCATTTGACAGTATCTGAGACCCATTTGTGATAAAACCATGCCTACACACAGACATGTGCTCCAATGTTCACTGCCGCATTTTTCGGGAAGACCCCAGAGTGGAAACAAGCCAAATGTCTACCAGTGGGTAAGAGGATAAAGAAGTGGTATATCCATATAGCCGAATGTTACTGAGCCGTGACGAGGAACACACTACTGCTGCATGCGGCAGCGTGTTTGAGCCTCTAACACGTTATGCTAATTGACAGATGACAGACACGAAAGACCATTTATTGCATGAGTCAGTTTATAGGAAATGCCCAGAGAGGCAGCTCTACAGAGAGAGAAAGTAGCTTACTGGTTGCCTGGGCAGGCCTGGCGGTAAACTAACGGGGATTGACTGCTGCTAGTGGGTACCAGAGATCTTTCTGGGGTGATGGAAGTATTCTGAAACTGGATGGTGGTGAGGGCTACAAAACTGTCAGTTTACTAAAACTCACTGTATTGTTCCTTTTACATACGTGAAGTTTATGGCAAATAAATTATACCTTAGTAAAGCCATTTAAGAAACTGTAGTACAGGCTGGGCGCGGTGGCTCACCCCTGTGATCCCAGCACCTTGGGAGGCCGAGGTGGGCGGATCACCTGAGGGCAGGAGTTGGAGACCAGCCTGACCAACAGGGAGAAACCCTGTCTCTACTAAAAATACAAAATTAGCCGGGCGTGGTGGCGCATGCCTGTAATCCCAGCTACTCAGGAGGCCGAGGCAGGAGAATCTCTTGAACTCAGGAGGCGGAGGTTGCCGTGAGGCTAGATCACACCGTTGCACTCCAGCCTGGGCAACAAGCAAAATTCCGACTCAAAGAAAAAGTACTGCAAATGTGACCGTAAGTCATTGAGGAAAGGGTATGCAGTTGTTTTATTTTTTACAACAGTAAGCAATATCCCTCTCTTTCCCTCTTCTGCGTCCCGCCTGCGTGTCCCGCCTGGTCGCCTGCCTCCTCCACGTGCACTTGATGCTCCAGCCAGATAGACTGTGCACAGCTGGGCAGAG